AGTTTCGTATTAAAATATTAACACCAATTGACATTGGGCGGCTGCTAAAAATATAACTGCTCGAACAAGTATAAGCTTTCACACAGTATGTCGATAATTCAATAAGACACACGCACAACACACACACACACACATATATACAGATTGGATGTAATTTAGGTAGCGATTACATATTTATGCTCGTATGGTTCAAGGCTAACTAAAGTTTGTGTTTTTTTTTCCTTTCGGGGAATTATTCTGATTTCATGGCGGGGAATGGACATACATTTCGAAATTTTTCTGATTGTATTTTGGCTTCCCAAGGCCATTATCAAATAATCTTTTGTGAATTATTCATACAATATAAAGAGAAGAAGAAAAAGAAAACGATTACAAATATTAGAAGTCTTAACAATAAAATAAAACAATCCCGTATCAACAAAAGTAAATTATCCTTGCTCACGTTTAGTGCGTATTCATTCACACACACACACACACACACACACACACATATATATATATATATATATATATATATATATATATATATAGTTTATGCAAATTTAGGTAATCCGTGTGGGTAGACCTGAGGAGGATGATATCCAGAGAGCTCAATGTAAAATTCAGAGCAGATATGTTTGAATAAAAGACAGACCACGTTAAGATTCCATGTAATAAGCTATTTCACCACAACCCCTTTAACAGGGTTCTGGATCATCAGACTTTACTTCCAAAAGCTGAAATGAAAAGAAATTCACACGTTTTTTACGGACCTCATCAAGTATACGCAAAGTTTACGGAGTGAGGAAGTGAGGTGGGAGAGAGGATATGAGTGTGTCATATGTATCATTTTAGTTTCCTATTTTAACCCCAGTGTGTCGGCTGGATGTTGCTCAAATTTAACGCGTCTCGTCTCTAGATAAAGGTTGTTAAGGGGTGAGCGATAAGAACTACATTAAGGAAGACGTTACAATAACCCCCAATAAATTACACGACATATATATATATATATATATATATATATATATATATATATATATAAGTATATTCATAGAGTCTGAAAGAAACCTAAAATTTAATTTAAATTTTAAACGGCCGTTTTTTCCTATATTTGGGAATTAATTTTTAATGCGCATCCACTACTGAGAATTTTATCCTGACAGTTAGGGCCTCGGTTTGGTTATTATTGCAAATCAGAACATTATAAAAAAATTATATATATATATATATATATATATATATATATATATATATATATATATATATATATAGTTAGTTTATGCAAACTTAGGTAATCCGTTAAATATCCACTGAGGAGGATGATATCCAGAGAGCTCAATGTAAAATTCAGAGCATATATGTTTGAATAAAAGATTTATAAATAAGATTCCATGTAATTATGTTATTTCAAAATAACCCCTTTAACATAATTCTGGATCATCAGACAGATCCAAATCAAAAACTGAAATAAAAAAGGAACTTCATTTCATTTCATTTTTCATTTCAGAAGAATTTATTTTATTATAAACGGTTAAATTTAATTATTTCGATAGTTAAATATAAAAAAAGATATAACCTAGTAGCAATTTAAATTCATTAAGTTAAAATATACCAGTGGAAAAATTATAGATAGCAATTGCCCTTAAATTATTTCTAGAAAAGAGAGAGGAAGCCACAATACGTCTGGGGAAAAAAAGTGAAGGTATACCCATGCCAGATCAGGACCTATTACATTGCATATCTGTCTTTGGATTTTGTCAAGAACCTCGAAATGAACAGCGTGGCATCAGACCATATATGGTAACAGTATTCAATGCAAGGACTATAAATACTTTCATATTAATTGTTCGGTTGGGGTCTACATATAATGTCTAGACCCTACGAATTTAAGCGCAGTACTAGATTGCTAACAAGATCTCACCATTTTACAATTAATTTGGATAGATGAAACCGTAGGCTATATACTAACATAGTCTTTCCTTCTGGCTACATGCATTCCAGTCAACTTTGATCTTCAAAAATTTAAATGCAATGTTAATCGTTATCTTATGTCTTCCTAATTAAATAATAATTGTTCTCGTTCCTTAAAATGTTTCTTTTTTTAATTCCCTTGTTATATATCGCTATATGATGTGTATTAAATATCTATTTTACTGCATTTTGGGTATAATTCAATATATATATATAAAATGTCCATTTTTTCAAACATCTTTTCACAGCTCATCAGTATTTCCAGAAAATGAACTGCTTCAGGCAAACTTTGATTTTGACAGTCGGATCTCTCACACATATTAATCAGCGCATGCAGCGAAGAAAGGGATTCTTAACACACATTATATATTTTAAGAAAACCTTTACCATACATGCTGTATTTGTCTAATAAAATTGATTTCAGCGTTATTTTTAGTAGGAATTAAACAAAATTTTTTAACCAAATGCTTAACCTAACATAATATATATATATATATATATATATATATATATATATATATATATATATATATATATATATTATATTTTATGTATATAAAACAAAAACAGTTTACTTTCAATAAAAAGATGCAACTTCTGTTTTCAATGCTTCGGTTTTATTATAGTCTTGTTTTATTTTTGAATTGATCATAACCATTTTTGGTTTCACCTGTTGAGATACAATTGAAATGGCACTGAAACGAAGTTGCATCTTTGTAAAATAAATTGTTTTTGTCTATATGATAAAAATTATAAAAATAATAATAGCTACGATCGCTATCGAGACCTTTTTCGGATTAATGCTTGAACGTTTGAATTTATATATTATTTTTTCTCTTGCTTCTTTAATATATATATATATATATATATATATATATATATATATATATATATATATATATATATTATTTCCAGCAAAACATTAATTTCTGTAGTTTACTGCTACTAGCAAGCAGAAATTTTCTCCTCCTTTTGATGGCCATTTTTTTTAAAATTAATGAGGAATCATAAATGAAATAATTTAAAAAAAAAGAATATTAATTTTTAAAACCCAGTGTGTCTACAATCCATTTAATTTTTTAATATTTTTATTGTTCAATATATATATATATATATATATATATTATATATATTATTCAGAAATGAAATTTGAAAATTTTTGGTTGTAAAATACACATTTTCATTTTATTTCCTAATTTTTTTATGGAAAATAAATATATATATATATATATATATATATATATATATATATATATATATATTTTATAATTTTTTAAATTTATTCCTTTAAAACCAAAAATGTTTTTCCTTTTTTTGTCATTTATTATTTTCAATATTTTCTCCTTGTTAGAACTACTATAAACTGCACACACACACACAATTTATTTGGACACACACACATTCACACACACACACACACACACACACACACACAAACATATTTATATATATATATATATATATATATATATTATATACAAAAATATTTGTATTCTTTGATTATACAAAAATGTTGATTTTTTCATTCGAAAATAAATTCAATTGATTTTTATAATTGATTTAGTAGAAATCTCATTATATCATATTATATTTTTAATATATTTAAAAAAAATTTGATTAAATGTTTTTTTATTCTTTATATAAATTTTTGGATCTTCTTTTTTTTTATAAAGGTCCGTTTTTCGATTGCTATATCCGTATTTTTTTATTTATACATTTTCACACAAATTAAATCCATTTGTGCTTTTTTTTTTTATACACGACATGAACCCCCATTCCCCATTTCATACACATGGCACTTTTCAATTCAGAGAAAATGCCAAATTGTTCTGGAAAAAGAAAATGGTGTCATTGTAAGTTTTATATTTAGTAATAAGCAAAAGTGGCCGACATTTTGTGTAATTAAGAATATCATCAAGTGTGTTGTCAAAGATTTAATTTTAATTGACCAATCATTAATGTTATTTATTATTCGCTAGAAGGCTTATTACACTAATTTACATATACAAGCCTGCACAGTGACACACACACACACACACACACACATACACACACACACACACACACAGATAAATAGTTATACATTACCATAGTTACGAGAAAATATATCTCTTTTATATATATATATATATATATATATTATGAAATGGACCAAGTCCGATAATTATTTTTAAGACATTTTATGTTTATACATTCTTTTTATAGATACAAATATTTAAAATAAATGCTCTGTTTTATAATAAACAATATTAATAACATTTACTTTATTGAATGCCTTTAAATCATAAAAATATGCGTCCTCCGACAGGAATCGAACCTGTATCCTGACGTGCTTTTTTACCGATTGAGCCAAGAGGATTTTTCTCAAGTTAAAAGGTCGAAATTATTGATTTTAAATGAAACTATTTTTCCATGATTTTCTCACGTACATTTACATCTGCTCGATATCAAAAATGAAATTAATGTAAAACTAATGTCGTCACAGATTAAAACATTAATTTTAACATCTATAAAAAAAAAAAATAAAAAAAAAAATGTTTAAAATAATTGTCGGACTTTGTTCATTTCCGCGTCTTTATAAATGACGAGTTAGTCGCTGCTTTAAATTATTCAAAAAGAAAACAGACTATCATTATTGTTTTTTTCCGTGTATTGCTTGTTATATTGAAATGTAATTGTCATCTTTTTGAAATGGTTTAAGTAAGCCGAAAAACTAGATCGGATTTAAACATATATCAATATGGTGATTTCCTTTTGTCTTTCAATGATAATGTTATTAAACTTATCAGACAATATGAAAAAACTTTTAAAATAAATAGACACAACTTTTCTATATTATTTAATGAAACATGCATCAATGACAAATTGTTGCCTAAATATACATAAATATATATATATATATATATATATATATATATATATATATATATATATATATATATATATATATATATATATATATATATATATATATATTTCTGATTATATATTTTCAATTATATATATATATATATATATATATGAGATAATGATATAAAAATGTTAAAAAA